AAATTAGAAGAAGAAGTAATGTATGGATCACTTGGGTTGTTACCAACAACTGGTGAAAATTTCATGTCATTAGCACCTCTAGTAATATATTTACTGAGAAAAATGTTGACGTGTTCAATACTTATTTTACCCACTGTATTCCCTTAAAGTCCATAAGAGAACAAACAGATCTGTTTAAACAAAGATCTCTTCCACTTTTTAAACATTTAATCACCAGCAGACTTTAAACATCACAGAAACCATAAAACAGCTGAATCTTTGTAAAAAAAAAAAACTGTGGATTATTAATTAACTCAACAACATGCAGCTGCCCTTAAACACTAGTTTGACCTCTAAATGAACTCTAATATTCTACTTCATGAAATCCAAGTTTGCCTCTGGAGTGACACGAGTTTTACCAACCCTACTTCTGACAACTATTGTTCTGAAACTTTCGGTTTTTTAATCTTCTCAGCAACATTTCAGGCAGCAGATAACAGCATTCTGAGGAAAACTGATAGTAAGAAGAGACAGAAGCTGCTTTAGAMGCTGGATTACCTTGGTTGGACAGCTCTGTAATGACAGTCATTTTGTTCAGTTCCTCTGCAGCCATGGCGTAAAAATCTCACTCTCTCTCTCTCTCTCTCTGAAGTTCACCAGTCAGGAAGTGTAGTCCTGCCTGAGACACACCTGCCTCAGGTGAACAGACCTGCGCTCAGATAAGGAGTGGAGACTCAACAGGGCAATAAAAGGCTCAGGGAACACACCGGAGCAAGAAATACTTTCAGACATGTGAGTTTTTAATCAGAAACAAGGCACACTAATAAGAAATATGATTGTATCCCCAATGTTTTTATAAACATAAACATTATAAAACTTTTGATTTTTTTACAACTGCACATCTAAAACCTACAGACTCAGCTCTACTCCTCGTCCCACAAACACATGTTCCTTACAAATGTGGCACCATTTAAAATGGAAATTGACAGGCTTTCCAACAGTAGCTATAAATATTTAAATATCTGGAAGATTTTCCTCAAGATTTTCTTTATATATATATATATATGTTTTTTTTCCTTCAACTAAGACCCGTTTTCCTAGTTTCTGCTGATGCTGCCACTGCCGTGCTTCACTGTAGGGATGGTGTTTTCAACACGATGAAAGGTTTGTGGAAAACATGGTTTTGTCACAAAAGTGCAATTTTGTCCTCGTCCAAAAACAGCAGCTTCTTTCACATGTCTGAGGAAGAAAAGTTGACCAGTCAAGTATTTTAAATCCATTTACTTTTACCTTTTTTTTTTTTTACCTTTCTCCCCTCTGGGCCCCATTGAGCTGGTGTCTACATCCAGCTGTCACTGTGTGACAGCCAGGTATAACCTGGACAGGTCTCCAGTCCATCACAGCAGTGCAACATCAATTAAAGAACTAATATCAAAATTATTTAGYGAATACTGAGATTATTTGACTCTAAAACTGCCCACAGGAGAAACCTATTCACCCTACAAATAACCTGAACCCTCCTCTCCCATGACCATTTACTGTCTATAAACTGATAAGTACTTAAGAAYTGTAATTTCATTGTGCTCTCTGTACGATGACAATAAAGGTCTCTCTAATCTCTAATCTAAAATCTCAATCTGGATGGAACAAGGTGGAAAAGTCTTGTCAGTTTTGCTGCAGCCGTCGACTTTAATCTAGTCAAAAGATGAAAAAGCTTAAATATGTTAAAAGATGTTTTAAAAGATGTTGAGAAGCAGACATCAGCTTGTGTTTTATCCAATATGAAGTGATAGATTTTAGTCAGGGAAAGATGCACTTTGTTTTGAAGAATACATTTTTGTGTTATTGTTTGATGCTTACTGTTTATTTTTATGAAACTGTGTGTTGTAGCCAAGGCACGTTTGTAAATGAGACTTAGTCTCTCCTGGTAAAATACAAAAATAATATGCATCACTTTTTTGTTTTTTAGTTCTGTGAAATATTTGTTTCCTTTATTAAACCTCATTAGGCTGAAGTATTTCATAGACCCATTCCTTATAATCAAATTGAAAATCCATTTAAATTCCAGGGTTGTAAAACAACAGATATAAGAGCAACTTTTACAATATATTTCTATCACAAACCTGGTTTTCCTGCTCTTTGACTAGAAAGAAGTTGAATATTCTGGTTCATGGTCTCAGACAAATAAAAATATAAAAACCTGTAAGGTAACATTCGACTCCGCATGTGTTTAGATGATTTTCATGGACGTTAATATCAAGGGGGTTTTCTCACCTCGCTCCATGACAGCGATGTTCATTCTTACAGAGCAGCCCATCAAGTCTTAAAAGCCCATTTTCAACTGGAATTACTTTTCCCTCACAGTGAAAATCGTAAAAACATCTTTAAGACTTTGCACATTTAACTTGTTTAAATCTTTTAAACAACTAATACAGTTTTAAAAAATCTGTTAAAATAAAGACAAGATTCAACATTTTTTCCATATAATTTAATTTATTCACAGACACAAAAACATTATGGTTGCACAACAGATAATTACTGCAAACAGCTGGGAATGTTTGATATACTTTTATACACTCTTACTTTGTCAACAAAACACAAAAAAAGATGCAAACTTACAATATTTTATGAGAGGAACAAAAAAAATCAAAGAAAGAAGGTGAAGTACTTTGGGAAACATACAGTAAACATTTGATCTCTGCTTGTGGCCCAAGTTTGTCTGAGTTTATTCAAGATGTTTCTCTGCTGAAACGTAAAAAGAAATACAGAAGCTTTCAGAAATTAACCGATACACGACTGGAAATATAAGATGTCATTTAAAGAAAAGGAAAAAAAAAAACAAAACAATCAGCCTGTGGTGACGAAAATGAAAATGTCGCTTTTATTGCCCGTTTTTTTTTCCCTTCACCTCTCTTCTTACAGGGCAAGGGAGGGAGGAGCGGGACACAAAGCCTTTATTAAAMCAGAAAAACAAGAGAGGAAAAAGAACCAGCAGTGACACGAGCCAATAAATAAAGACAGATCTAAAATGATTGTGTATTGGATTGGAACCACCAACACTTTTCATCCACACATGTCAGAACACTGAAACACTACGGTACATCTATGTATTGGGGGGAGATTCTTCTTCTCTTTTTAATTTTGCCCTGATCTTGTTTGGATGCGGGGKGGGGTGGGGGGGGGGGGGGGGACAGCAGGGCTGAGATGGAGAAAGGAAAAGATGGAGCTTCTAAAGAAGGGTGGAAAAGGAGGAAGCCAAAACGTGGGATGGGTGAAGGCTGCCTTCTAACCCTCCCTTTTAAGGCTGTGGGGTGGGGGAAAGAGGAAAGAGGGGCGGGGGGTGGGGTGGGGTGTTAGGTGGGCTTGAACTAGAAGATCTTTACAAGTGCCTCAGTGACGGGCGGCGGACTCCCTGGGGTAGAACTCAGCCAGAGTGCTCTGAGGAATCCTCTTCAGCATCTCTTTGGGGAAGATTCGCAGCAGCTGCCAGCCGATGTCCAGAGTCTCGTACACCGTCCTGTTGTCGTACGGGCCTGGGGTGGGGGGTGGGGGGCAGAACATCATATTATAGTTCAAGTGAAATACTCATGCAGTCTTACAGAACACCTTTTACTGATTAGCCTTTTCTTTTTATTGGCCACCATTAAACAGCATCATTACGTCGAGGCTGGACTGCTGTAATTCTTTATCTGAGAGTCCAAAAAACTCTTTAAGTCTTTAGTTGATCCAAAATGCTGCTGTTAGAGTTCTAATAAGAGTTTGAAGGAGAGATTGTATTTCTCCAGTTTTAGCTTCGCTCCATCCCTGTCAAAATCTAATCTCATCCACCGATCTCATCTGCCTCCACAAAGGTCTGAAAATCAGCCACTGTCCCCTCTTTGCTCTGCTGTGAGCTATACCTCATGTCCAGTTACAACAGGTTTGTATTGTTCAATGTTAATCAATACAATGAGATTGGAACATTGAAGTATTGTGACTTAACACCTGACAGTGTTACACACAAAAACTAAAAAATAAAATTGGTATGGGCAGGTCAGGCTATGAGAAYGTTTTTGTTTGCATGTCTGAATTTAACGAAACTTGCAGAAAGTGATCAGTGATTGAACAACTGGAGTTAAACCGATTCAAGAAGAATAAAGTGTTTAATTCAGTCAGAGATCCAAACAAAGGTGTTTGACACTTGTTTYATTTAAGCCTTACTTACTGATGAAGGTCTAACAGAAAGATTAAAGCTGAAAATGATACTTGTGTTCATAAATGTTTTAGTTTAATTAACAAAACCTTTTAAAACAAACAGTGATTGYAGTTAACCTCAAACTGCAGCTCAGTACCTGATGAAGATCATAGAAACTGGAGGAACAGTGTTATTAAACTTTAAAACTGTTTCAAATATWTTTTTTTGAAGTTCTAATAGTTTGATCACGAAACACGGCTGAGATGAAACCAAATCAAAAACTGAAATTTTCAGATTCCTTYAGCTGATTGTTATTTCGCGACTAGAGGTCAGAGTTCTGGACRGAGTTTTCTCTCTAAAGAAGGTATTTGGACTGAAAATATTTGGGCGGCGTTACTTCGGAAAGAGATTGAGGCAAAAATATTTCTCTTTCCATTTCCCATCTCGTCTGACTGTGACGGCTATTTTCCTGTGGAATCCATCAGCGCTGAAAAGAGGAAATAAAAACACGGCGCGCAACGTTTGCTAAAAAGATTAAACAGCTTTGAGCTTTTGTTTAGTCACTCAGGAAAATAAAATGAAATACAAAGCTTCTAAAAGTGCACCCCCCTTGGATGTTTTACTCTTTTATTACTGTTATAAATGAGTCATGGTCAATATAAATTGGCCTTTTTGGCATTACATATTTTTATTTAATTGGCATTACTTTGTAGAAAACTGATTTCCCTTTGTGACTGAAAAGTTTTATTTTTGGCCAATTCRTATTAGTCTTATACAATAATAATAATAATATATATTTAAGTTCTAAACTTTAGTTTGATGCTGTTTTGAAGTAACTCTGTTTAAAAAATAACCATGCTGCAAGTAATGCAAGAACAAATACAACTAAACAGCTTTAAAAGGTTATTTAATCCAATAAAACAGAACTTCCAGATGTGCCTGAGTCTGATCTTATTAAGCGTTGAGCACTTCATTAGATATTATTTTTGTGTGAATAAAGCTCACATTCAGCTGAAGAGTTGTTTGTAAATAATAAACTCAAYTAAAAAGATGTTGGAGTACCTAAACAGATTTTTAAAAAAATGTAAAATAGGAATAAAGCTTCATGAGCTTCAACAAATTCTATTCTTGTAGCGACAGAAGTGAAACACTAACGTATTCACTGCTGCTGGTTTCAAGTGTTATTACTCATTCAAAGCTTACAAGAACACATTCAGGTTGAAACAAATGTGTGGTTTGAACATTTTTCTTAGCCAAAATAAAATCCTAAATTTGCTTTAATTATAATCAAAATTAACAGWATATTTACAACGTTWTATGTGTCCAAAATCTGATAAAGACCTGACTGTTAAAGCATCTTTTTCTTACCCTGAGCAATGAAATTCTTCTCAAACTTCTGCAGGAACTCCAGGTAGAGCAGATCGTCGGAGGTGAGGGCTTCTTCTCCCACCACAGCCTTCATGGCCTGGACATCCTTACCGATGGCRTAACAGGCGTACTGCAAACAGGCAGACATGTTACTGACGATGAAGATGATGGCAGCTACTCATTAAACGCCGCTAACTGTGTCGTAACAGAGTGAGATTCATTACCAGCTGGTTAGACACGTCAGCGTGGTCCTTCCTGGTCATCCCCTCGCCGATGGCAGACTTCATGAGACGTGACAGCGAGGGCAGCACGTTAATAGGAGGGTAGATCTGACAGACAAGATAAGAGGGTGCTTTAATATCCTGCACGACAACTTATTTTACAGTCTATCAGTTAATATGTCAGAGCTGTGGGTGGGAAAAACTCCATCCACCCTCGATGTTTCTATAAGAGCGCAGAGGGGAAGCAGCAGCCAGCAGCTGCTGATCAATAAGAYGTCATGAACTGATCATCATCAGTGTGAGGCTCAGGATCGTACAGGTGTGTGTTCACTCAGTCTTCACTAATGACTGTTGCTGCCGCTCCATCTGGGAGAGCTTAAAGTTCATTTCAGAACAATCTGGAGTTCATCATTCTACACTRACAACAAGTTGTAAATATTTAAAACAGATGATAACTTTCCCAGGAGTGGATGCCCAACCAAGCAAATTCACCCCAAGGTCAGACCGTGCAGAGAATATTAAATGTAAAAAYGAAGGAAACTGTATCTCACACTCTACAGGCCTCAGTCGACAGGTTAAACTAGGCAAGAACCAAACACCTCATGCCTTGTTTGGAAAGGTTACAGGAAGTCTCTTCTTTCTAACGTGGCAGCACAGCTTTAGCTTCAAATGAACAAATAAATGAGCCCAAACACCTCTAACAGTWAGCACGGTGGTGGAGTGGTAATAATCTGAGATAACTATTGGTGAAAACATAATATGTGGCATTTCAGTGTCATCTATGACAAGAAGGTTCGATGTGACAAWTGTTGGCAAAATGAGTCCTGATGAGGAATATTGAGGTATTAATACATATTTTCAAATCCTCAATCTCAAAAGCTTGAAAATGATAAGTAGTTTGTTAAAATTAGGAAATTTTTACCATCTGGCCTGGCAACAAGCTAGTTTTGTTTAAAAAGTGCTGGTTTGAAAACTCCAGTAAAAAAAAAAAAAAGGGGGGGGGGGGTCCCAAAGCGTCACAATGATGCTAAAATTAAACATTACAGCTGCAGCAGACAACAAAGGTCAGTTTCAAAGAAAATTAAAAGGATTAGAATGAAAAGTATTATTTCTGAATACATACTTCAATATAACTGAAAACTTCAAAATAAAAGCAGATTAGAAAGACTATATGTTGGTTTATTTACTGGGATTGCAAGAAGGTAAATTTACAGGTTTACTTAGACTAAAATCAACATTGTCAGTATTTTTGCACTGCAGCCTGCTCAATCTGACCTTTTTGCCAGCAGTTAAAAAGTGTTCACTCTCTCAGAATTTGGGATTGTTGTATTTTTTTATTTCACGATAATTTTTTTCTAGCATGCAAGCCAAGGAAGTGCAGAAAACAAAAAGCTCCAAGTTGTTTTCTTGTCCAACGACAGCTTAAATCAAGCCGATACCTGTCTGTTGTGCAGCTGTCGGTCCACGTAGACCTGCCCCTCTGTGATGTAACCAGTCAGATCAGGAATGGGATGGGTGATATCTGGAGGACAAACAAATRCATCAATCCCAACAATTTCAACACAGATGGTTTTAGCAGTCCTATGTTACATTTACAGTTGTTATAAAGAAGTAATTCAACACAGAAAGAAATACGTGACCTTTTTAACCATTTTCTAAATAGAATCTCCGTCAGATTTAAAATCAATTTTAATTATTAATCTAAAAGTTATGGGAACAATGAGGAGTGGTCATGAATGCTTCTTCAGACCTCAGAGGCTGACTGTTGATGACATAATTATAAATAACTTGATGCTTAGAGAAGCCTGCTGTCTGTTTCACTGCTGCCCTCACCGTCATTAGGCATTGTGAGGATGGGAATCTGGGTGATGGAGCCATTTCTACCCTCCACTCGGCCGGCACGTTCGTAGATGGTGGCCAGATCTGTGTACATGTAGCCTGGGAAGCCTCGACGGCCCGGCACTTCCTCTCGAGCGGCAGAGACCTGACGGAGGGAGAACATTGTCGTTTTTCACTGCTAGGAGAAGTTCTGAAGCTGAMCGCATAAAGAGGAAGATGATAGCTGATTGGGAGAGTATTGTTGCCAAAAATAACCCTCAATTCGTGTTTTCACAAACTGAAAGAAAGAAAGAAATAATTTAAAACCGTGCCTCACGGCGTCAATAGCTGCATTTCCACAGAAAGCGTCGACTAAACGCAGCATCGTTTCTTTAACTAAGCTTCTCATCTGAAAACACCTGCGTGTTGCTGCTGGAACCAAAGCTGCTTAAACAACAAAAATCACTCAAATTAAACTAAAAAATTACAACTGCTACTGATCGACAGTTTGTTGTTTCTTTTTTCTACAAACATGAAGACAGGATGCAGACTACAGACAAACCCCATTCCAACAATGTTGAAGTCATTTAAAATAAATGATATGCAATGATTCACAACAAACAATAATAAACACGTCAAATGTTTTAATTACTAAGTTATTGCACTATTTTTAGGGAAAACAATTTTTTTTAATTTGATGGCAGAAACATGTAAGAAAAAAAAACTTCTAATTAAAAGACCGGGGAAGCAAATGGTTGTAAAACGAAGTGGTAGAATTAAGAAAGAGCTGGGGGAGTATTTTGTAACAAATGAGGTTAAGTGACATCAGGTCAGTAAGAGGATTGAGTATAAAAATATTTTAGATAAGCTGAATTTCTTAGAAGTAAAGATGGTCAGTGGTTTACATTTAAATTTATTTCTTGATTCAAGAAAAATCAGTTAAGCTCATTCATTAATTAAGCCCAACACCAACTACTCTACAGCTTAAGAAATGTTTAACTTGTAATAAATAAATAATTAATAAAGTTTTATATTGCTTTACAAAAACTGCAGCGCTATTAGAATGTGCTGTATGCATCTGCATGAAGCCAGACTTTCTTTCKGGCCTTTTTGCAAATAATTGTTCATTAACAAAGAGAGGAATCGATGGAAACTCTCAACTTCAAGTGAYGCCAGCTCCTTAATTATCCTGATGGAGAGTCAAACAGCTGGCTGTAAATGTTGGCATTCTGTTTGCAGATGCTCCATAGAAATGACCAAAAGCAAAACCTTGCTCCAAAAGTCAAGTGAATTCAGAGCCAGGAGGAAGGAAAACACTTCCCATTTATCTGCGGATTCAAAGACTGATGCACACTCGTGAACTGTTGACTCAGTGCAGAAAACCTCAACCTTCATGTGTGAATGAGAGCAGAGGTAAAGGGATGACGCCCCGCTGCTTTGTGCGCACTGAATCACTCTTCGAGCCGCCTCAGTAAAGCCGACGATCTGCGCGGATGCTACAAGCACCAAGGTTACCAGACAGCAAGCGCCGAAAAGGAAAATGCATGCGAACCATTTAAAGACTGGCATTGTGCTGCCGACATATTGAAACAGCAAACTGTACAACATAAAAGAATAATTACCCACAACACAATGGGCTGAGACCAGAAGGCCCAACTTCTTAAGCAGCAACAGAAAGGACAGTGGTAAGTGTGTGAGGAGGAGGAAGACTGGGAGCTTATCTTTTTATAGTCAAGCAGACAGGATACTCTATTTAAGAAAAACTTGTTCCTTTAGTGAAGAACAGTGTGTCGATGCTGCAGACAGTCCGCTGATAAATCACTGGTAAATGTTTCTTTTAACACAGCTGTATTGTCTAAAACAGGCAGGGTCTAATTTATTCAAATAGGTGTTTTTGATGCATGCATTAAGTCTTAAATCATTGAATCATGGAAATTAGAAGCTTTTGAACATTAAATCAATGTTCACCTAAACCAGTTTTCTTTTTTCTGATTTCAGTCATGTTTGCTGTACTTCTCTTCTCTTGATGCATGCATCAGAAACACCTRTTTGAATGAGGTTTTAGATGCAAGTGTTTGTTTTTTTATCTTCTATTAAGCAAACGTGAGAAATTCTACACAAATTCCAATGTGCATGACCTGTTACTCAGCTGTGTAAAACAAAAATTAGCCCTTATATTGTTCTTTGTTTTGTATCATATCCATTTATTAGAATATCTTAATGCAACATTATATAATCTTTCTGCATTTATGTTACTGTATTGTATAATATTGTACTATATTGTTTCATTATACCTATCAAATTACAACTTAATGCACAAAATCATGACTTATTGTACTGTACTGTATTGCATTGTGTTGTATTTCCCCGTATTGCAACTTATTGCATCATATCTTAAATCATACAGGTTTTTTGATCCAACAAGATCTTTTTGCCACCGGTAGGTTGTYGGTTTGATCCCTCCCATTCCATGCGTCTCAGTCCTTGTGTCCTATTGGGTAAGACACCTCACCCACCGTGCCTGCTGGTGGTGGTCAGAGGGTCCGTTGGGACCGGTTTGTGTCAGGTACCTCTGTGGCTACAATGTAGCTTRTTATAAGCCAGTGTTTATTAAACACAAATTTATTGAAAATGTGGATTTCATTAGTGTAATTTGGAAGGCTTGTGAACACTAATCAATTCTTTTGTTATGGTGAATGGTCTGAACTTGCATAGCGCTTTATCAACAACAAAAAAAATGTGTCATTCAACCTTTCATACACACATTTATACACTGATGGTGGTTAGGGTTAGGTTTCTTTAGGCATTTTTGCACTGTAAGGCCCCCCAGGCTGGGTCTTTCAGTGCAAAAATGCCTTTCGTTAGATGTCAGTTGAGAATTTCTAGAACCACAGCACGGAACTCTGAAACACTTTAAGGATGTCTGATCAGTCATTTCCAAAGCACAGGCAGGCCTACAGGTGATGACACTTTTTAAGATTAACGCCTACGGTTAATGATCTGCCCACTGACAAAAAAAAAACAAAACAAAAACAGGAACTTCAGTCCACACAGAAGTTAAAGGGGGGAAATAAAAAGACAAACAGCGACTGTGTTGAAGTGAGCTGTACCTCTCTCAGAGCTTCAGCGTAAGAGCTCATGTCAGTGAGGATGACSAGGACGTGCTTCTCACACTGGTAGGCCAAGTACTCTGCTGTCGTCAGCGCCAAGCGGGGGGTAATGATGCGCTCGATACTGATTGGACACAGACAGAAAACGTTATTATATTGAACACATACAAAAACGGTTGACTTTTTAGCAGCTAAAGGAAACATTTTAAAGTAAAGTCATTTGAAATTTGCCAAACAAAGCGAGAATTTGATGTKAATTCCAGCTGATGCTTACGTGGGATCGTTGGCCAGGTTCAGGAAGAGGCAGACGTTGTCCATGGAGCCGTTTTCCTCAAAGTCAGACTTGAAGAAGCGAGCAGTTTCCATGTTGACCTAAGAGAACAGAGTTACAGGTTCAGAAAGTGTTTCAGACTTGAAGTTTTTCTTCTAGCACCATCTAGACCATTTATTATTGGAACATTGCAGGTTTACAGTAATGTTTGGGAAAATATTCCTGGGGATGAATAAGACAATAAAAGCTGTGGCTTAACTTGTGAAAAAATATTTTTTTCTTCCTTTTTTTTTAAATAACACAAAGTCCTTTTGAGACAGATTACTCAACGATAAAATTAACACGGAAAACAAGGCCCATGTCTAAAAGTAGCTCTATAAATAAAACATTTAATTTGAAGTGGCAAGCTTTAAAGTTKTCCTTAGAAATATTAAAATTTCATAACTAAAATGATATTAAATCTTATTATAAAAACAATACTTCGCTGACTTAATACAGCTGAATGTGAGGATAGAAACCTTAAATAAACATTAAATAAAGTACATTAAAACTGAACTAGTCACTTATAAAGTTTAAGAAGACTGTAGAAAACATAAATGTTTTGTGAACCAGCTGGTTGTTTGCCATCACTAAACAAATGCACTGCTGTTACATCGAGAGCTGTGGCCTTTTCAAAAATTCACATCCATGTGTCGACTTGAACAAATCCCTATTCACACTTTCCAACCGGAGTAGCCACGGCGAGATGTGAACTGTGGAGGAGTGGGGAGGGACGGAGGAAGTGTTTGTGTGCCTGTGTGAGTGTGTGTGTGTTTGGAGGAGGTCAGGTTGTCACGGTCGAGGCATTACAGCAGACAGAAGGGGCAGCTGAAAGGCAGAGAACTTGATACTGCGTGGCTGTCAGTGTTAAAAGGCCTGTTGAATTAGTAACCCCTCTACATGGCCAGGGGATATGCTCACAAGTGCAGAAGTAACAAGAGGGGCTTAAAGGTTAAATCACCTAGTGAATAAAAGAAAGCAGGGAGGGAGAGAGGGGACAGGGTGTCACATCGGGGTTAAGAATGGAGGATTAGAGGCACAAATTGGGTGGAGGTGTGTGCGAGGGGGGGGGGG